AGAGGGAGAAGCAGGCTTCCTGCAGAGCAGGGAGCCTGATGTGGGGCTTGATCCCAGGACCCTGGGATCATGACCTGGGCTGAAGGCAGTTGCTTAACAACTGAGCCACCCAGGTGCCCCTGTGCTGAGCATTCTTGACAGCATCAAAATATTGGCTTTGTTGAGCCTTCTGTTCATATTCCACTTCTAGCTTTCTCAGTTCTTTGTAAATATCTGGATTCTCTTTTTCATAGAGTCGTAGGATATGTTCAAAGGCTTCATGCAGCTTTTTACACTTGTCTTTCAGCACCTTCTCATTTAACTGTGGTTGCTGCACTGGGTTAAACTCCATTTCATCTAATTTCTCCATGTCCTGGATAATCTGTTTGGGATCCTTCATCTTCAAAACTGCAGCTCGTACCATCATGCACTTATTTTTGTTCTTCTTTAATTCTCTCTTCCAGTCTTCTTTTCAGGCTTGGTCTGTGGGGTTCATAAATTTTCCACTCTTGGTTGATGATGTAGATCTCCATCCCATGTTGACAATTTGTATGGTTTACTTGTTCATTAAAACAAAAAAACACTTCTGCTGGATTCCTGGCACTGCAAGAAGTGGGGAGGGGACAATTCCGGAGTCTTTTTTACCTCATAGGGGACTTCACCTCTCTGTGCCGTTCAGCCACCCAACCACCACCATCTTGAAAGCTCGCGTCCCTCCTCATTTGGTTTTTCCTTCAAATTTGTTTAAGAAGAAACCACATCTTTAGGTAGCAAGTTTCATTCTTCTTTATCTGCTCATTTGGAAATTCATAAATCCCACCACTTCCTCCCTCTGGATCTCTAATATGCACAGCCACTGGCAGGCATTGTTTAATATCCACCAAAGACCCTAACTTGGGAAATAACATAGAATGTCTTCTCAGGTGTCCCTCAACCAAGCCTCACAGATCACAAGAGATTGGCTCTTTTCCTCTTATAAATTTCATAGGTCAGGCTTATCAAATATTTAAATCAGAGCCAATTTGAGAATATAAAGAAGGTATGCATCAGAGATGATGAATAAGTTGCACTGTCCTGAGAGATAGGACAACTATGATGCCCTGTTTGACCCCAAAAAAGGCTTAGAAATTGATAAATTAATATGGGAAAGAAACTGAATCAAGATAAAGAGGAAAAATCCTAAGGCAGCCGGTCTACTGACATCTGTTTCTGCTTGGCACTAACTCCATTCCCCTAATGGCCAAAATGTGGAACAGAAACCTTATTATTATACCCATTTTATAAGTAAAGGGAGTGAATCTTAGAGTGACTTGCCAAATGTCAAGCAAGTAATATCGGAGTTGGTATTGTTAATAACAAGGCCCATGTACTCTTTACTATAGCATCACACATCTCTCTACTAAAATGAAATGTGAGGCGCACCTGGGTGGCTCAGTAGGTTGAGCATCTGCCTGGGTGTCCGCTCAGGTTGTGATCTCTTGGGTCCTGGGATCTGGCTCCACATCAGGCTCCGTGAGAGTCTGTTTGAGGATTCTCTCCCTTTGCCCCAACCCCCTTGCTGGCACGTGCATTCTCTCTCTCAAATGAATAAATCTTCAAAAAAAAAAGATAAGATAAAATAAAATAAAATGCATTGTGATAAGTGTTGGGATTCAGGTAAGCTTTGCGGAATATGGTCCAAATAGACTGATGAGGGTAAGTTATGAAATAGCTACCTACCAAGGTCAGTAACATAAATAAATTAAACACACAAGATGGATTTTTGTCTCCTAGAGTAGAGATTGCCTCAGATACACTAGCTAGAATTAATATGTGTAATTAAAAGAGTCTTTGTGGTGCGGTACTGAGCAAAAAAAATCATACAATCAAGAGACTCTTAATTCCCAATTTTGGAGAGTTACACAGAGATACAGACCTCTGATGGACTGTTTCTTTCCATGGAGACACAGGAAATGGAGGAGGGAGAGGATATAAAGTGGCTGCAGTGCAGAATGACACGGCATAAGTCTCAGGCATGGAAAAAAAAAGTGCCTTTCGGATAAATAAAGTATGTGGCCTGTATATACACTTTAAGGTTTGTTCATTTTTTTTTTTAATCAAATGCTCCCAGATTGAGCAGGAAATTGTAGAGGGGACGATGAGAGCCCAGCTGCCGCCTCTGGAGAACAATGACGGATTTCGCCTGCAGCTGGGAAACCTCACGTGAGAGCTGATAGGTCAGGATCACAAATGGATAAATTCTGTCCTGCTCCCACTCCCACAGGATTTCAATTCGTTGAGCTTTTAGTTTGTTACTGACCCAAATAAAATGTGCAAGGTTCTCTTCTTATTTTTTTCCTTTGCTTTTGATTTCCCTGTCCTTCTTTGGTTCCTGTGAATCATGTATTCACAATGAAGCTGGACGATATGAAATTCACACCCTCCAAAATGTAATTATTTCATTCATCAACAACCTAATACATAAAGGTTTGCTTCATCTTCCTATTGGGGTCACCCATCTGGCTCTCCCGGTGAGAGAAAAGCAGTTTGAACAAAAAGACTCTTTTTGGTCTGAGCAAATGCACACCATCCAGAGAGAGCAGGCAGGATTAGATGTAACTGACAATGCGGCCTCCCCGTTTTATCTTTCCCCCACTTCTCAGTAAGCCAATTCATCCATCCAGGTGTGGACCACTGACGTGAATCCTAACGCTGATCTATAGCTCTTTTCTCGTCCATAACAAGAAGGTGTTTATAAACTCATTTCCTTCCTTGAGACATAAACACTGTCAGCGATTGTCTGCTGTCCTTGATTGTGGAGCGTCTTCCTCCTCTTTTAATTTGTTACCCATTGTGCTTGTTTTGCTCCTCAGTTCAGTTTTCTTTTGAGCAGATTCTGTTATGTTTCCACAACCCCCACTTCTTCTCCCGTTTCCTTTTAAACAAACACCTAAGTGAAAATAACCATCTTTGTTTCTGTAGAATTTAGTGGATATAGTCTTAGGAGTAAAAAAAAAAATAATAGAGGAGCACAAGATCTCTGCTTTAGAAGTCTCTTGGAAAATAATCCCTAACATAAGCATAGTCCATAAGTAAGCCTTCTGTAAACATGGGTTGCAAGAAATAAATGGAGCAGACAAAAACTCAGTTTTTATTATTCCTTCCTGTCAATCTGTCCTCTAGGTCTTCAAAATTTAACCCCTTCTAAATGCTATTCATGCAAAACCCACACAGCTCTTCCTTCCCTTACTTGGCATTCCTTGATATCCAACTTGATGTAGATAGGACATTAATATTTGTCAAGAACCTACCAATGTCAGACACCATACTTAATAATTTTTGCATGCTATATATAAATCTTCACAAAGTTTTCATTCCATAGATGACCATAGAATGACTAAGAATAGTTAAGGTAAGATTTCTTCACTCAAAATGTAGAAAGGTCATGAGCTTATTGCTCCAAACAGAACAACCAAAAGAATAAGCTACAAAAATTATGTAGTTTTAAATACCCATAAGGGTGGCAAGGTTCACAAAAAATTAATGGAACTAAATTTCAGAACTTCATAAGCTCTTCCTAAGAGAGAATAAATTGCCTATTATGTTCATCTCTGGAAACACAATGGGAGAAGATGTAAGTCCAACATAGATGGTGAGATTTGCAGGGTAAGGAGAAAACAGCCAAACTTTTAAAGGCCATAATTGGTTCGCATGGCAGACCAGAATCTTGAGGAGCTCTAGATGCAGAGTGAGTCTGTACCCATCTGTCAATTCTTTCCCATGGGATTTTCACCAGTCCACAGGGCAAAGGCTGGGAAAGTAACAGAAGGATTTAAAGAAATCCTAAAATTTCATGGAGACTTCACTGAGAGCATAGCAGAGCTCACTAAAGGCTTAGGAGCAGAAAGAGGACAGAGAAATCTCTGGAATAATAAAAAGTGGGCTAGAGTGCAAAGAAAGCTTTTTGGTGACCTAAAAACAGTACTATCAAGCCCCAAGATATCACAAGAGTTTTATTGGCGCTTAAATCCCAAGTCCTGCTTGAGGGAGAATTCTAATTGGATCTTCAAATTATTTGGAGCCAGTGGTGTCCTGAAATTTACCCAAACTGTAACCTCTCCCAGAACTCACTGCAATTATGGATTACAGGAAGGAGCATATTCTTCAATGGGGGTAAATATCATTTATTCAGTCTCGACTATTCTTAGTTTATTGTAACAATATCTAGAGCATAAACTACAAGACATGCAAAGAAGCACAAAAATGTGACCTATTCTCAAAAGAAAGAATGGTCAATAGAAGCAGACCCAAAGATATTCCAGAGATTAGAAGCAACAGGCAAGAACTTTAAAATAACTACTATAAATATGTTAATGTGTTAAGCCAAAAAGGTGAATAATAAGCATGAATAGAGAATTTTAGCAAAAAAAAAATTAACAATGCAAATTATTAAATGAAAATTCTAGAACTGAAAAATAGAATATTGAAAATGAAAATCATTTCATGTGCTTAAGAGTAGAAAGAACAATTCAAAAGAAAAGATCAGTGAACTACAAAATCATAATTTTTACACCTGTCAAAAAGTTAAGGTACAAAAAAATTAAATGAACTAAATTTCAGTGCTCCATAAATTCTTCCTTGGAGAGAAGGAATGTTCGGCTATTCTCATACCTCAATAAGCCAAAAGTAAAACAGAATGGTTAAGGAGTTTCCCAGAGGTTAGAATTATTAAATAGAAACTCTGGGATTTTTATTTAGGTCATCCTGACACCAAAGCCTGAGCCTTTACAAGCTCTGTATCTCAAATTATACTTGCATTTCTTATTATAGTGCCTTTATTCAGTTACTCCCTACCAGATGTCTCCTAATCCAGATCACAAAATGCCTATGTGTCTTCTAAATCAGTTCCATTTTCTGTAATCACAAACTGAGGTATCTGCATACAAAAATTGCTACAACTGTCAAAACTAAATGAGGTCTACACTAAAGCCCAATTTCGATGGAGAGGTTAATAGATTGATATATACATAGATATAGACATAGACGTTATTTAGAGCCTTAAATGGATACTTGAGCTGGATTTTCAACTAGTCTTTTTTGATCCGAGGCCCTTTCATTTTCCCTCCTGGACTCCAACATTTACTATTCTCTTGGACCTCTTTGATGTGATAGAATAGGAGTCTCAAAATCAAATGTTTTCTGTGGCCAGGGAGATTAACTATACCAAGCAAAATCATCTGGGTAATCAGGCAACAGAGAGAAAGATGAATGCAAAAATGCAAGGAGCTATAAAGTGATACCATGCCAAAATGTATTCAAATTCAAATATATTTTTAACAGTCTCTTGATAAAGATTTCAGCCAGATCTGTTCCTTACACTAACAGTTTGTTTTACAGAATAGAGCACCGTGGTTAAAATCTACTGTGACAGTCAAAACAGATTTC